GGACCCTGTTCTGGGGGTGGGGGGGAGGTGGGTCCTGTGCCTGGGGACGTGGGAGGAGGTGGAAACAGCCTATAAACCTGGTTAGATTCGCCCTGGCCTTAGCATCTCTCACTGGGGATGAGCTGGGACAGGACCAGGGACCTGCTGCCCCTGGAAAGGGCTGCTCTGAGTTCTAAGGGTGGAAGCAGCGCCCTTGAGACGAGACTTGGGCGGCAGCTTTTCATTTTGTCTGGAGAGCACGGGGCGTCCTTGCCGGAGGCGGGTCTCTAACACAGGGCGGCCGCCTGCTCTGTCCGGTGGCCACTCTGCGAGCGGTTTCACTGGTGAGGCCACTGCCCAGTGTGCCTCTCAGGATAAAGGCGGTTTCCTCTAGGGGCAAACCCAGGAGACGAGCCAGGCACACGGAGGAGGAACACGTTTATTCTTGACGCAGCCCCAGGAAGCAGGAGCACAGAAGCTAAGTGGCCCCCTGCGGAGGAAAGGCCGCCGTCAGGTAGGCCTGTGGCCAACTCCGCCTCGCTCAGGTGAGGACCAGACACTGTCCTGCCGCAGCCAGGTCAGGGCCCCCCCCCGCCCCCGTCCCCCGCTCCCCGCTCCCAGGGAGGGGGGAAGGCGGGCTCGTTCCCTCTGTGCTGTGGTCCAGAGGCCGGTGGCGCTTCGGTCGCTCAGTGTGCCACCCACAGCCACCTGGGAGGTGGGACAGCCTAGTGTTCCTCAGCCGAGAGCTGGACCTGCAGCCCGGGGGCTGGCCGAGGGAGTGTGGGCAGCCAAAGCCCTGGCTGTTTCCTGGCCTCCCCGGGACCCCACCACCACCACCACCACTCCAAGTGGGGCTCCTCTTCAGGGCACAGAGCTTGTCGTCCAAGGAGGGAAAGTTAGACGTGAAGGCAAGGGAGGGGCAAGGGTCTCAATCATACAGGTGTCCCCCCGAATGTATACACACTGAATAATTATTCATTCCAGTGGCTTAAATCTGAAAAGAAAGAAACCGCCATTGAGCCAGAAACCGCCATTGAGCGAACCAGGAGGTTCTGTGTATGCAGCCCGTTCAGTGTGGCTCAGTGGTTGAGCGTCGACCTATGAACCAGGAGGTTCAATTCCGGTCAAAGGCACACGCCTGGGTTGCTGGCTCGATCTCCAGCGGGGGGCGTGCAGGAGGCAGCCGATCAATGATACTCTCTCATCACTGATGTTTCTCTCTCTCCCTCTCCTTTATCTGAAATCAATAAAATATATATATATTTTTTTAAGTGTGTATACATTTTGGGGGACACCCTCTATATTGGGCAGCCCCGTGGGGTTAATGAGTGGCAGGGACTGTGAGTGCCTGTGACAATGGATCGACCACTCGGGACTGTGAGTTCAGTGACAGCGCCCCTCGGCCGGGGCGGGCTGGGGTGGGGCTGGGCAAGGTCATTGGCTCTGGGTTACAGTTTCCCACCAGGGGGTCTCCAGGGGGGTTTTGAACATCCTTGGTCTCCCCCCCTGGGTTTGAGGCTGCCTTTTGTAAGTTGCCTACTGGGGTGTTTTGTAACGTGGGCCCGGGAGCTCGTGGCCTGGGCAGAAGGCACGGGGGCCGCAGGGCGCCCCGGCGGGGAAGAGAAATGTTAGAAAACGGCAACAGATTGATGGGAACATAAAACGTAAAAACTGAACTGGTTATGTAACAACTGTTTCATGACCACGCCCCCGTAGTGGTTCCTGGCCTCGTCACAGCTCAGGTGGTTCACCACGTCATGGGGGTACCTGCCGGGCCAAGGGGGCCCGTGAGCCCCCACTGCGGGGACTCCCCGCCTGGTGGCAAGCGCCTGCCTGCCCGCGGGCAGGGTGTTCGAGCCTGACCTCCCTCCGCATCGCCTGGAGAGGTGTTAGTCCTGTGCAGGCTCCGGGTGGGGCTCCCTGTTCCCCGGATGCTGTGGGTCAGCAGGTTTGGGGACCCGGAGCTCCAGGTAGTCCTGATGCGAAGGAGTTACTAGGACCTGGACGAGGGGCTGTGGAACCTGCTCTGACAGCTGCAAACTACACTGTGTCCCCTGCAGCCTCCTGTCCGTGCCTCTCAGCAGCTCCCTGAGGACTCGGGACTCTGGGCAGTGGTTCCGGGCCTCAGAATGAGGGCCTCGAATTTCCCACCGGCTTCACCCATTCAGACTCAGCTCCCTCTCTACAGGGGACCCCCTCCCCCTGTCCCTGCCTGCCCCTGCCCACAGGAGCACGCCCAGCCTCAGAACCAGGGCCTGAGGGACCTACTTGGCTCTCAGGCTGCTCAGGTCATTGCTTTGGCTCACGAAGGTCTTGCATTTGTCCAGGAAGCTATTGGTGATCGGGGTGCCTGGGTGCAGGGTCTCGAAGCGCTGGCAGAGCCTGCTCAGCTCCGTGCAGATGTCCAGGAACATGAGCAGGATGCGGCGGTCTGTGGAGTTGGTGCAGTAGTGCTCCGTGTAGCTCTGCACCTGCAGGGCAGCGCGTGAGCGAGGGCGGGCAGGAGCCCAGCTGCAGGGGAGCGAGGGCGGGCAGGGGTCCGGCTGCTGCTTTTATGGGACAAGCATCCAGCAGCCCCTCGGGCTCTCCCTGCTCTCAGAGCCGCGGGGTCAGGGCCCCGGCACCGGCAGCCTGTGTGCAGCCCCGGTTTCGTTCCTCCTCCCCTAGCCCCGCACCTGGACAGCTTTTAAATCCTCACTGAACAGCTGAGCGGTGGAGGTCTGAGAGCGGAGGGAGGTGCCGGCACCAGGGCTCTGAGCCTGGCCTCACCAGCCCCGTGACCTTAGCCGACACCCAAAGCCGAGGGCTGGTCCCGGCTTCTCATGCCACAGTCCCACTCAGGGCTGCTGGGCGGGCACCCGACTGACACCCTTTGCAGGTCTGTCCTGTGTCCAAGGCAGAGGGAGGGGCCATCAGTCAGAGGAGCTGGGAGGTGAGCCACCCCCGGGAGAAAGCTGGCCACCTCCCCACAGACAGTCCCCGTCAGGGGGCAGCACTTCAGCCCCAAGCCCAGATGGACCGCGCAGACGCGGACTAGAGAACCACCCCAGCGCTGGAGAGGAGCCGGCTCCATCCAGGTGGGACTCCCACCTGGTTCTCGTCAAATGGTTCCCCCACTCGCCACGACCCCGGGGAAGGGGCATCCCCACCGCCCAGCACCCACAGTTCTCAGTCCAGACCCGCTTTCCTGTTGTTGCTCTAGGGCGTCTTCCTAAGTGTGGTAGCTTTGCCGGGCGGCACAGGCTTTGTCCCCACAGCCCAGGTCCACACACCTGCCCCGCACCTGC